CAAGACATCTCGCATGCGAAGCGAGCGCTTTACCACTGAGCTACACCCCCGCTGCTGATCTGCATTTTTATGAATAATAATTCTTATACGAACCGAAAGCTTTTCGTATTAATCTGTGTACATGTCAATAGAAATCTAAAACCTTCACAACTCGCAGCTTTATGTTTCGATCCGATCAGGATTGTGAATATAAATATTATTTTATTCAGTTTTCATAAAATTTAAATTGTTACTGGAGGATTTGGGATTCGAACCCAAGACATCTCGCAAGCGAAGATACAACACGAAAACTTTTCGTCTTAAAATTTTCAATAAAAGTATACAAGTTTTATAAATTCGCAGATTTTGTCTCATTATAATCGCTGTTGTGCGTAATTCATTATTGTGAATTAGCTTAAGGAATGAATTAGCTCCATGCATTATTTTATTTATTTTCTAAAATGTTCGAAACTCAACTGGGAATTTTAGGACTTGAGCTCTCTCATGCCAAACGAAATCTGTACCTCTGACCAACCCACATGTTTGTTCTGCCTTTTCATCATTAATAAGATGTATTTCGCTCGAAATCCCTTAGGAAACTTAAACATCTATAAAAGTCTTAAACCTTTATTGTTTTGCAATTTTGCACTTCGGTTTGAATCAGTATTATGCGCTGTTCAACATCGGGAATAGATGTTTTATTTTACTTGATTTTCACAAAACTCAAGATTTAGTTGGTATTCGATCCCGAGTGTTGCTTGCCTTTTTTTTTTATTTATCTTTAAGAATTTGAATCACTTCTTACTGAAGTTTCATTCTATTTATTTATTAACCTTCTCTTGAAGAAATTAAAGCTAATGAAACGTAATTTTTTCCGGGTAAATTTAAGTTCTTATGTAGAGTTAGTTAACAACATAGCAATAATTTATGTTAATTCGCGACAGAATTCTAAACTCTACCGAAACTTTTTACTGTGACTAAAATTTAAACTTGATTATTAACTGAGCTTAAAGTTTAGATGTTATGCTCCCACCTTTTAAGAATTGTCCCTCTTTTTGAGCTAAAAATATATAGTAACGCTATACATATATATACCATACATGTATGCTATATATATACCATATATAGTATATTACACCATATAGAAATACACAGTAACGCTATACATATATATACCATATATGTATGCTATATATATACCATATATAGTATATTATATCATATTGAAATATACAGTGACGCTAAAAAATGAAAGAGCTTTAAAAAATGTATTAAGATATCAGAATATATTCAGATTTCTATTGTGATTAGTAAAATTTTGATCAGACAGCTAAAGCTGTTTCTTTCTGACACTTTTAATTACTTCTCAGAGATGCTTATCCAGCTGCGAGAAGGCTGAAATAACGGTTACGCTGAATATATTTATAGAGAAAAGTAGCCAGCTGTTGCTGCACGACGATAATGAGCATACGAGAAATTTTAAGGTTGAATTGCAAATAATGTATTATATTTTTGTTTCACAAAAAAGAACTAAGATGATGCGCATAAAAGATTTAAAGTATGTTATACTTCGCACACATAAGACGCAGTTGGATAACTTAATAAAAATGTTTGCACATTTTTCAGCAGATTAAATGATTAAAATTGTTTTATTTTGTCTCACGAAAAGCGTAGGACTCTAAACGTACAAAAAATTTGCGCGAATTTAATGTTGGTGTAGATATTTATTTAAAAATGGTGCATCCCACGTTTTTTATTCTAATTAGGAGAAACTTGAAAAACGACGTCACAATTTTTATATATTTTTTTACTGACAATTTAATTTTCTATCTGTTATTGCTTTGTATCTGTCATTTCTTCGTATCTGTTATTTATTTGCTTCAGAAATTTGCTGAAAGGTAGGGTAAACCTACCAGTGAAGGAACACTACCCAGCGAAGGAACATTTCGTATATGTTGATTAAAAATAAGAATTTGAAAGCTTTTCTTTAGATTGATTGGTAGTAATAGCTTACTGCCAAACAATAGGAAGTCATCTAGCAATGTTTTGGATTACCTGGTGAAATAGACTTCTCTGGAAAATTTTTTGAATTTGTTATTATCTCTGCAACACCTTGTTTCTTTGAAAAAATTATAAGGTGAATGTTTGTATTTATATGTTTGAAATGGAATTAATTGCATGTAATAGCTTTATTTTTCTCACTGTGAAAAAGAGAATTCAAAATATAGTTATTGAAGTTACGTTTTATTTTTTTTTAAGCATCATAGCATATAAAAGTACTGCGATAAGGGGGTGTTTATTCACTGGATTACCGAACAATGAAAAACCAGTGAAAGAACAAGTGTTCCTTTACTGGGTTTTTTCCTAAGTTAATGAAAATAAAAGATAAACTTTAATTTTCTTGTACCTTTAGGGATGTTCCGCATCAAAAGTATGTTAAAAATACGAAAAACAACTTTTAACCAGTGAGGAAACAGGCATGTTCCATAGATTTCCCAGTGAATGAACAATATATGTTAATATGTTGACATTTTAATTTTCATTCATGATTACAGAAAAAAGTTAACATTTTTCAAGTATTTATATGTTATAATTTCAAGAATAGGCTTGCTTTTAAATATTTGTATAGCTTATAAATTCATAAAGAGCATTACAAAATAACCAAAATTATGTGTTCCTTTACTGGGTGTTCATTCACTGGTAAGAGCTATTCCTTCACTTGGTCTTCTTACTTCTTGTTATTTGAACCTCCAAAACTTTAAAACAATATTATGTAAGTTCTCTACAATTTTTTTTTACATAATTTGCAATTAGTAACAAATATGTTGACACTGTCATCGAACTAAAATTACTAATTTTGAAATTAATATGATTTTTTAAAATGTAAGCGAAGCTTAAGTGTTCCTTCATTGGTTAGTTTATCCTAGATTGGTGATAAATTCGGTTTGATTATAATATTTATCTACAGCAGTAGATTCTGTGCGTGGGGTACAACTTAGTGATGGAGCTCTCGCTTTGCATGCACGACGTCTTGGGTTCGAATTCTAAGACAACCAGATAAACTTTGACTTTTGTAAAAACGAAATACAATAAAACGTACTCACAACATTGAGTTACGCTCATTTTACATGACACGATTCTACACAAATCAAGCATAAAATGCGAAGTCATAAAGCTTCATTAATTTTATTGAAAGCTATAGGTTTTTATGCAAAGAGGTTTTCGAGTAGTATAAGGTTTATTATCTATGAAAAAAAGCTAACCAGCAGTGGGGGTATAGTTCAATAGTAAAGCGTTTGCTGCGCTTGCGAGAAGTCTCGCGTTCAATTATTTCATTTTGTTTTTAAGCTTTTTATGGAATAAACAAAGCGAAACTTACGAATAAAATATAATACAGGGTTATTCATAATTCCTTCCGGGATTTCGAAGCGTTATAGTAAAAAAACGAAGACGAATATGGCAAAAAAGAACATATGCAATTATTCCGAAAGTATTCATGTTTTAATTTAAGCAGTTGCCAGTAGATGGCAGTAACATATACCACTGAAGCCAGCTGTAGTAAAGAAAAATGACGTTTACAGGCGGAGGGAATTATGAATAACCCTGTATAATACATTGAGGTTTAATACTTAGAGCGGCACGTAGTTTTTATTTATGAGACAGTATAACAGATGTGGGGTATAACTTAGTGGTAAACTGCTCGTTTGCTTAGAGTGGGGAATGTTTATTGTTCAAATTCAATATCTTCCAGCATTTTTTGAATTTTTAAAGAATTAAGAAAAAATGAACCATATATTCAAAATTACACACGTGTCATACGCATATTGAGTAATGCATTTAAAATTCTTTTTGGTTTAATATTTTGATTTTTATAAGATTTAAGCAAAAGCAAAATAGCTGAGAGAATTTAATTCAATGATTGGATGTCACTATGGTAATTGCAAATTCTCTAACAAATGTATTCCTTTTTTACCTAATTTTTTACAAGGAATTAAAGGAGATACATATTTATTTAAGTTGCTATTGAGCACACATTATATTTTAATGTTGTTTTTTTTTCAGATTGAAGTAACAGCACGAGATCTGGGAACCCCTCCCTTATCGGCCACTGCAACACTGACGGTTTATGTGGAGCACATTGCCACAGTTGCTCCTGATTCTGGTCTCGGATTTGCAGATTCTCTATACAAGTAAGGAATATATAAACATAACAAAAATTTAATTACTTATACTTGCTGTTATGTTAGTATAGTTTAAAAATACATTTCAGACATGTGTCTCTTATTATTGAAAGACACGCTGCATTGTTTTACCACAGATTGTTTATTTCTAGATATTATATTAAGAGAAAGTAAATAGCATCAACAAATAACAACAACTAAAATTAATATATTGAATTATACTAAATAATATAACATTAACGTATAAAAATTAATGTATAAGAGAAATTTTATATTGCATGTAGTGAAAAGTTGCTTATTGTTTTGCAGTAGTATTTCCTATTTATGTTTCTAGGTTTTCATAACTTACTTTAGAAACAACTGTTATTATTTACTTTAAACAGATACAACTTTTAATATTTTTTTAATGAAGAGATTTAACAAAATTTAAATTTGATTAGTTTTAAAACATTTTTATCAGCAATTTTAATACATGCTGGTTTGTTTTCGTTTTGTTCTATATTAATTTATACTTTTAGGAAAATATTTGCTATATTAATAATTTTAATTTATTTATTTAGTGTTGAAATTGCTGAGAATTCCTTAGCCAACACACTTATAAAAAGTCTTCTTGTTATAAACAAACCCAGAGGAAATTTCCCTATAGGTTGTCGAATTGACAGAGGAAATGAAGAAGGTAAATCAGTTTTATTTTAAAACTAGTAATGTTCAATAAAAACACTACTAGACATGCTCATTTTATGTTGTTAAAAAAATCTAAAAAAACTTTCTCCATTATATTTTTCAGGTTTATTTTACGTAATTGAAACGAATAACAGAGACTGCGAACTACGTCTCCAAACTGGGGAATTGGATTATGAACGACAGAATCGATATGTTTTGACCGTTAGACTAGTAACAGTTGGAGGTTTATTCGGTACGTTGTTTATGAGTACATTTCATATAATGTCTATAAACTTTGCCTGTAGAAATTACATTAAAATAATCTGATTCGAAGAGTTGCTAATATATTTTGGATGGAATTTAATTATTACTTAAAAATTTAATTCTCAACATACTCTCAATATAGACTCAATATAGACAGTTGGAGGGTTATTCGGTGCGTTGTTTATGAGTACATTTCATATAATGTCTATAAACTTTGCCTGCAGAAATTACATTAAAATAATCTGATTCGAAGAGTTGCTAATATATTTTGGATGGAATTTAATTATTACTTAAAAATTTAATTCTCAATATACTCTCAATATAGACTCAATATAGACAGTTGGAGGGTTATTCAGTGCGTTGTTTATGAGTACATTTCATATAGAAATTACATTAAAACAATCTGATTAGAAGAGCTGCTTATATATTTTGGATGGAATTAAATTATTACTTAAAAATTTAATTATCAATATATTATCAAAATTATAAGATTTCTCTACATTATGTAAAAATGCAATTGCATAAAACTGTTTCTAATTGTAATCGGCTCATTCTTATTCGCCAAAAAAATTACCTGGAAGAGTTCAGTTTTCTCAAATGAAGATCAATATTTATTTGCTTGTCATCAGCATAAAACTAATAAAAATTATAAAAGTGTTGTTTACCAATAAAGTGTTTCCTTCACTCCAAAACCAAATTTTATTACGTCCAAAAACAAAGTTCTTTTATTTATCCTCATTACTTTATATTCTCTTACATCGCAAATTTTTGATTTTGATTCTCATTCCGAATTAAAGGCTTAAAATTGCAAGTAGTGTTTCGCTATTATTAAGTAAGCCTATTATATTTCTTTATTCTCCAGCATTTTACAATAAACATATTTAAATTGATTTCAATATTTAGTAATCGTTTTCCCAAAACAATAACTAAAATATCAAATGATAAATAAGTCATATATACTTTTATTTTAAACTTAGCGTATGCCTGGTATACATATGCAATTAAAATGACTTATTCAAAATGGTAAAACACTGTTAGAATAATTAAATAATCTCTTTGGAGGAAAAAAAGTTAACTAGTTTCTTAAGTAACCAAAAATTAAATAAGTATTTTGTCGAAAAAGTCATAGAAGAAGTTGAATGGTTGTAAAATGATTAGGATTAAATTTTATCCTATAAGAATCGGTAACTAAATCTGTTTTAATGCAAGGAAATATTTTGGGATCTCTCAAATTAGTGTTTTTTACTTTCGAAGTAATACTTTGTTTTTCGCCAAGAAACAAAGCAAGATTGTAGTACTTATGGGTCTTTCTGAGCGAAGAGAGGAGAGAGCAGAGCCCCCCAGTTATAGTATATTGTTTGCAAATATAATTTGATGTCTATAAAACTAAGAAGTACATATTGAAAAATTAAAATATCAAAACTAATATCTTAGTTTGATTGAAACAAAAATCAATTATTTTTGCTTCTGAAATTAGCATAATTATCTGCAGCTGTTTCATATTGAAGTGTCACAATGCCTTATTGTGTCACCAAGTTAATTATTGCTGTCTCAAAAAGCCTGTTTAGTAGCTTGTTTTTACGATCTCTGTTATTAACAGATAATTTCCTTCTGTAAATAAAATAAGTAGTTTAAGCACAAAATGTATTTCTACAGGATTAAAACAGCTTTCATTTCTCAACTTTGCAATTTGTAAGTAAAGATAGTACTACGACTCTTAATGGTCCACTAATAAAACTAAGTACCCTGAATATTTGCAACAAATAATTCTAAACTAACGATACTCATTCTTTTATTTTTTCCCGCTTAAAAACGCTAAAAATTCCTTTCCTAGATTTTCTTAAATTAAATATAATTTAAGCTAGAGTTGTAATAATCTATTTATTGCTTTGTGTTATCAGGATCTTCCAGACTTCGATCCGACGTTGCTGTTCAAGTTTTGGACATAAATGACAACAAACCAGAATTCTTAATTCCCCAGCGTTATTCTAGAATATTGACGGATAAATACTTTGCTGTCCTTGCTCATGATGCCCCCCTAGAAACTGCTTTTATACAAGTACAGGTAAGACTGGTCGAAATAATTTCAATTAAGAGGAACATCGCAGTAACCGAGCGATTTAATTGTGGTTTATTTCTAAAACATATTTTGGATGGCGTGCAATTGTAATTTTTTTTCGTTGTGGTACATATTTTATTTGTCGATGTTAGGTTGTTTAAAAGAAAACCCAAACTGTCAATTTTCTTGAGATGACTTACATATTAAATACCAATTTATAGTAAACTGCCTATAGCTTCTCGGATCAGCCGAGGTGGTACTTAGCTAAATCTACTAAGATAACTGGGTTAAATGAAAGAAATATTGAGCCATAGCCATGTGTAGTGTAAAATCTACTCTGGAATTTAAAAATAAATTTCGAGACGATTTTCTCACTTAAATATGGAATTATTTGGAGTTAATTCTGGGAATAGTTTTACCTTTGAATCATGTGTTTCCAGTGTGGGGTTCAGCCAGGATTGAAGCTTATAATTATTAATATAATTATTATTAATATTAGTAGTACCACTACTACCACTATTATTTTGACTTTTAAGATGCCTTCTAGCAGAGGATTCAATGACTTTTTTTCTGCTTTCATCCTATTCGCACTTAAATGTACAGCATGTTTCTGATTGAAATAGTTTAAGCAATACATGGATTGATTTTGAATAAATTACTTTTACCAGAATTAGCGGCACATTGAACTGAAAGACATTAAAAAATAAAGGCTTTTCATTGTATTTTTTCATTTTTTTTTTTTATAACCGTTAAGCAGCAGATCATATTCTGAGTTTAGGACTATCAATGTTAAACTTCGTAACCTTGTAATTTTGAAATAGTAATTTTGAATTTTGAAATAAAAGACTAGGGAATTATTGGAAATTCATGGAGAGGAAAATCAAGAAAACCTCCCACTGTTAACCCAACAACAAAGGCGGAATCTAACCGGTGATCCACCTACCATTGAGAGTGTTTTACGTCTATACTATGGCCAGTGTTAATCGGGAGTAGAATTCGTATCAACTAGTCATCACTTGGATTTGGACCAGGGTCACCTCATTTGGATGCATTTTTTGATCCATCCTGGTTCTGTATCTCTTTTTCCACAAAAAAAATCAACCAGAAATACAGAAATAAAAAAGAAAAAAAACAGGTTTAGTTTGTGTACAGAACGAATTCCGTCTGCTCCCAAGGAAACAAGAAATAGCGTATTTCAAAAAGAGGAACCTTAATATTGACCAAACTAGAAATAGTTAAGCCTCTAAAATAATAGTCACCGACGCTGCTCAAGACGAATGGCGAGGATAGTTTTTGACATAGACTATACAGCTTTAGAAATAAATATATTCTAGAAATAATTGCAAAATCAGATCAGGTTAAGAGCATAACAGTGCAAAAGAAAAATAGAGAAAGTGGCATTTGAAATTTGCGAATGCTTTATAATAATCCATACACAGTAATAAAAAATTAAAAATTAAAAGCATATAATTTTAACCCTGCCTAGTTTCAACCCAGCCAAAGGATTTTTCCTAAAATAAAATAAAATAATGAAAAAAATAAATGTAAAATAAATTTTCTTAAATGAAATCATTTTTTTTTATAAAATATCTTAAAGAATACCAAAACTTGTTTTTACCTGTGAAGTAACTAAATCTGACAATTTATTTCTTTAGGCTTTTGACCTGGATTCAGGAGCTAATGGATTTGTCACTTACGAGATAGCTTTAGACTCTGATCCTTTCCGAAGATTTCGTATCGAACCTCATTCTGGATTCATCAGCAACATAAAATCTTTAGAGGACGTTCGACAAGAAGAACTGCCATTGCGTTTAAAAGTAGTTGCTCGAGACAATCCAGAACTTCGTTCAGCAGTTATGACTCAGAGTATATATGTGTTTGTGAGTATACTTTGAGTATAAAGTACCATGTTTTGTACCACACACATACGTGTACAATTTTGGGGCTAAATTACTTTTGTAATTTTGAACCTGCCAATGGAACTTTTCGGAAGCTTAGCCAATGAGCAAGTACAAGGTCAAACTTGTTTTTATTTTGCTTTTATAACTGTTCTGCAATTACGTTATAATAATTGAAAATCTCTAATGGTTAGTGTTGGAAGTAAGACTGAGACACTTCAACCATCTACTCTGAATATTCAGAGAATGTTTTCATCAAAAGCAATACGAGATTTAACCAGTTATCAATGAAATTTAAACGAAGGTAGTGTTTGTTGGAAGTGAATGTTCTAACACTGAGCAATTTCAACCTTTATATGAGATAATATAAATTTCATAAATCTCTGGGGGGAAAAAACTTAAATCAGTATATTTTCACATTTTACATTTCTCAGTAGTTGATTTTCATCAAGCGTTAAATTGGCGAGAGATCTGTGATGTTTTTGTTAAATGCTACGCAATGTTGCTTAACGATTACACAATTTAATTTGTTTTACGTGGAAAATTTATTCGTGGAAAATTATTCGGCAAGCCTAAAGGTTCGAAAACTTGGATATGTTTTTAAAAAACCTTGTTATCTAAGAAGTTTGGTAGCTTTGATTTTTTTCCTTCATTAAAACATTTAATGAATGTTTGACTAAGTGATTGAGTTGTTTTCTTCTAAATTGACTCAGATAAAAATTCTGATGACGGAAAAATTCCTTTTGCAGTTGAATTGCTAGTCCTATATTTTAAACATATTAAATCTGATATTGTAAAAAAATAGAATTAGATAATAAACAACTAATACCATAGTGAAATATTTTTGATTACCTGATTTCATGTTATTTTCTTTAAATGTTTCACCTAATCACATCTGCTGGAAATGAATTTCACTTTTTATTTTTATTTATTTACTTTTTTTTGTATTTTTGCAGGTAAATGTTATACGAAACGAAAATCGAATGGTTTTAGTTCTCAAAAATGTTTTACCCGATAAAGTTCTGGGAATAAAAGAAAATATACTTCGGTAAGTTCATTACGTAAGAAAAAATAAATAAACTGTGAACTAAAATATGTATACTACGTAAGAAATTAGAATTCTAAAAAGGTACAACTTTTGTAGCTAGTAAAACCTCATTCGTAATGTAAAATCATAACAAAAGAGATTTTGAAGTTTTAAGCATCATTCCACTTACTCCCGTATGTTAAGTTTAGTTTGAAGTAGCTGCGCATGCTCTCCTGAGGCGCGAATGCTTAAGTGTTGGTGAAACAAAGAAGCTCTTTAAAATTCTATGGAGAAAAAAAATTCTTTAAATTTTTTAATTCTATATTATTTGGGTGGAGTATGCACTATTGACTTTAAAAAAAAATAATCAATGAGCTTGCGCAGTTACTCCATAACCTACGCAGAGGATTGAGCTGGATAATAAGTAAGTTTGCGAAATCTCTATGTATTTCGCAAAGTCTTAAAAATTAATTAAAGTAAATAATTGAAAAAGTAGTTAATTAAAGTAAATAATTGAAAAAGTAGTTCTGGGGAAAATTTATAATATAACAAAAATTAAGAAACTATGTCAATTATTCACGCAATTATATTAGAGAAACTTTAATATTTAAAATTGGTAAAATAAATATTTTAATTACTCAAATTTTTAATAAAAAATCAGCTTATTTTTTTATTAAGAATCAAGTTATCAGCTAATTTATATTCTGTAAAAAATATTCAACATAAATCCATAAATTTGAAACATCGTTACAAATTTATCTTTTAGAAATGCATTTATGATAAAGTACCACCTTTTTTTCTTACCATTTTATTATGGTTAGTTTTTATAATCAATGATTTTTAACGAATAATTCTTAAAAATTTAATAGTAGGACTTTTGCTTAGCATTTAATTCTAATCCAAGTGCTTTTGAATATGCATAGAATTTAAAAGAGCTGCAAATTTCGATTCAAAATAACTTTAAATTATTAATATTATAAAAAATATTTTTAATTTGAGTACAAAATTTTTATTAATTTGCGTAAAAATTTTGAATAATTTATTTAACTGTATATTTTGTATATATAACTGTATACATTTACTTTGAAAAAAACATATTTACTTTTCTAATTCTTTAATTATTTTTAAAAACATTTTATTGCTTTTCAGATTAATACAAGAGAGAACGGGAGTGTTAGCTGACGTGGAAAAGGTTGTCTCTCTCAAAATGATAAAAAATCAATCAATAGAGACTGATACATCAGGGTAGGAAATTTAATAATAAGCTTGCTGATGACTAGTATTTTATAAACTTTAATTAAACGTTAGGTTATTTAAACTAATTCTGTGCATGTGAATATTTTACAATAGCTCATCGCATTGTTGATGTTATTTTCATGATTGTTGAACATCAAAAAACAGCAGTGGTGATTTTTTAATAAGTTTCTGGGGGAAGTATAGACACAAAACAAAGTCTATATTACCCCAAAATCTTTTTCATAGAAAATGACTTATAACTTAAAATTTTAAAAATGGAATGACATGATAAACTGCAACTCTTCAATGCAGTAAATCTTATTAATCTATTTGCATTCTATGCTTTCGAAAAACACTTATTAAAAGTAGTCTTCTCACAATTCTGATGTATATCAAATGTTTTTAAATAAAAAGTCGTTTTTAAAAAAATATCTCATTCTTATAGTAAGATATTTTATTTCACTGAAAAACAGTATATAATTTTTCTTTAAGTTTATTAAAAAATTGTGAAAAAAGGGAACAATAAATGTATTCTGATTAATGATTATTCTTTATAATTTTATGTATGTCATACTGAGAATAAAAATAATTGTCAAAAATACCAGAATATTCTAAAATTTATCGTGTTTCTGGATCTATGGGGAGACCAAAACGCCCGGTAATTTTTACCGAAGCGCTTTGGTAATAATTTTGGTAAAAATTAACTATATGGTTTTTTATAAGGTGATAAAATGTGATAATTGTGGTAAAATTTTGTAATTTTATCATGATACTTTAAAGCACGGTAAAAAAAACCATTTATTCGGTAAAATTTACTTTAAAATTTTATATTTTTTACTAAATATGTGGTAATAAGAACTATAATTTTCGAAATTAGAATTTCAGTAAAACCATTACCATATAAACGGAAAAATTAAGAAACAAGTAATTTGAATATTTTGTCTAAATAAATATTTTGGTTTTATATACCAAAAATATGTTGTTGTTGTTGTTTTTACCAGAAATGTCACTATCATGCAGTACGGTAGTTTTGGCAGAATTTTTTTCCTTGCTCTCTTTATGTGCAATAGTATTTTAGTTTAATTTCTTCAGAATTTTTAACTTATTTCTAATACATTTTCAGAAGTGACTTGTGGTTTTATGCTATTGATCCCGCAACCATGAAAATTATGCGATCGGATGATCCCAAATTACGAATGTAAGACAGTTAAAATTCTTTCCTTACTTAAGTTACACATAAAAAAATTGGATTGCAGTAAGTACAAAAAGTAAACAAAAAAAACTCATCAAATCAAATTTTATTATTCTGTGTTTCATTTAAGACGAAACACAAAATAATTCAGCTTTGCAGTAACTAATTTTTTTGGTAAATTAGTTTATTTGTGAAATTGAAAAGATGAATTAACGAAAAATCCAAAACTAAGTTTTGTCCGAGTTTATTTTTTTTATTTATGTAATCCAAATAAAAAATTTGTTTTGTTACTTTCTTTATTTATAAATTCTCTGATTATTGTGTATGTAATGTTAAGTTTTAATTCATTTTATTATTTTTAAACACTTTTCTTTTCTTCAAGCTCATATTTTATAACAGCCTGCAATCTTTAATTAGATGAAATTTTGGAACTGAATAACATGTTTATATATTAACACAAAATTTGATCAAAATCATAAATTTTTGAGTTAACTGATAGCTAAATCATTGTCAATACTTTTTCCATTAGTTAAAATGAGGGAGAACAAGGAGAAGGTGAAAAGAAGTAGGGGAAAGTTGGACAAAACGGGAAACCATTATTGTTTTTATTTACTACAAAAAATTTGTTAAAGAGAACTACACATTATTTTTTTATAGCTACATTACTTATTGAAGCACAGAAGAAACATATTTCAAACTAATTTTAATGACTGTGAAGTAAGAAAAAAACCATTTTTCAAACTCTAACATATCCCGTTTTAGCATACCTGGGTCGGACAAAACGGGACAGGATTAACAATGTTTAATTTTTTGTGTAAAACTAACTAAAAACATAATTAATTGACAGAAAACTGTAAAGCAAAATTTCTAAAAATTGTATTTATGGGATTTTATTGCTTCTAACATTTTTATATAAACTGTTGTTTTATAATTAAGTACACAAAAATTCTGATGCTACATAAGTTTTTAAAGATTTTATGAGTTTTCAACCACGAACACTTATTCCATGATTTTCACTGTCGAGATGCGTCTGGTGCCCTTACGAGGGATTTCTTAGCAGTCCTTTCTTCAATTCTCTTGGTTCATTCTTGTAGTATAATCATACTTTTTTTTCTTCCATTTATAATTCACTTTTAAATGGAGATGATGTTATTACTACAGTTTTCTTCTTTCTCTTATGAGTTATTTTTTCTGGGAGCGGTCCTTTTACTTGAGGTACATGTACAACACACTTTGGAAGGATGGAAAAGGGTAGCTTAGATCGATGACAAGAGAGTAATAATCCTAAAACTGCACACTTCAGCCTGGTGTTCAATGCCTGGAAGTTCTTGCTGTTAAATCAGTGGTGACATTAATAATGCAAACAGATAATGCAAACAGGTAATCTGGGAAGACGTCAGGATTGTAAGGACTTACACCAGTTTTACTAAACCCTTTAATGGTAGTATCTGCAACGGCTGCCCGTGAGTAGGCTGCGTTGAACAGTTTTGTAACCTCGTAAATTACAACGCACCTACCTGATGGTTGATCAGCCACTTTCGAACTTCTTGTTCATAATACGAGCTCAGTGGAGCCATGAAACTGATATCCAGGGACTGAAGGCGATGAGTTGTATGTGGGGGGAAGGAAATTTTCTTCCACGTGTTAAAATTATGCTTAATATTGTTTCTCTCAGCTAACTCAAATGCTAGCGTTCGTATGCCCGTTAGAATTATACCAAATAATCTCTCTTCTAGAGCCAATACATGCTCACTCGTTTTTTCTTGTTCAGCATTGAATACTGTTTCTTATCTGTCCAACTTTTTCACTGCTGCCAATCCAGAGGTCAATGTATTTGTACGAGCCTTTTTTACCTTTCTTTCAATATAGTAATAATAATATAGTAAAAGTATTAGGCCAACAAATAAATAGGCGGATAAAACGGGATATAAAAAAACTCTATCCCGTTTTATCCAACTCATAAGTATCCCGTTTTGTCAGACTCAGACACTTTTCAAATCAAACATGGCTTCTGCCTAAGCATGAAAGAAAAGTTAGATTGACTAGACATGAGAATACTCATTAATAAATGCTTCATCAAATGTAATACTCACCTGAATTGTAATCCTATATATATAGGCAGTACAATGTGAAAAACAACGCACGTAACTGTGGAGAGTGGCAAAAAAATAGAGTAAAAAATTTCTGAAACCTGCAACTTTCTATCAACTAGTGATCTTGAGACGGTACGCACTGAAAATGATAAAATCAAAGTCAAATAACAAGTTTCTGTCGTCGTCCGCTAGACAGCTGCAATAGTCTGGTCCCTAGGCCAGATATCCCGTTTTGTCCGACTATCCCGCTTTATCCAACTCTCCCCTACTTAGTTAATAAGTCTTTTACAACAACAATTATCATACATTCGTTTTTTTTAATTATAACAACTAATAATACTAATAATTATACAAACATCAAAATGTCAAACGTATTTTCATGGTATTTTTTTCTTCCTTACAGTGAAATATAACATATGTATCACATATTGTGGCTGCTTATCTAATAAATTTTGTTTGTTCTTCTATTTATTCTCCCTGGTTGAGTCAGAAGAGAACATTTTAATTTTTATAACAAGAACATCTACCTACGTTTATAAACTAATTTAGAGTTGAATAGTATATATATATTTTTTTTCATGTGTGCAAATAAAACTAATTGCATTTTAAAATTTAATCCCAAATTTCTGAAATTTAGTCCCAATTATGACGAATGATTTCTAAAATCAGTTAATATAAAACGAAAGAGAATAAAAAATATATTGCTCACTGCGGTCTGATTAGAAAACTAAAAATTTACACTCTCGAGCTTAAATAAAATAAATTGCTAACTTATGGCCCTACTTACTGATATGAGCTATAAAACAATATTTTAAAAATAATTACCATTTACAGCAATAATGTGGCGCAGTCTAGGGACAAAAATAACTGACACCTTTGCCAATATTTCAATTAGAATGGTTTGACATTCAAAAGAGAAAGCATTCAATGTCTTTCCAAGTAACAGAGCCAGCTGATGAAGAACTTTGCTACTAATTTTGACATTTGGTGTGAATAAATCTTAGTTTCCTAAGTGGAAAGCAGTAAACCGTAAATTATTGTCTTTTCTTTCTTAAATTTATTTTTCAAATCGTTGGTCATTTGTGAGACACCTAACATGTAACCTGTTGAGTAAACGGTGTTTTTATACTAGCATATTTTTCTTTATGTAAGTGTATATTTTTTACAATAATGTATTTTATTTTAGAGATGTATATTTATTTATATTAAGGTATTTTTGTTTATAATAGGATATTTTTACTTAAATTAGTATATTTTTATTTAAATTTGAGAATTTATTTGCTTTTAAGTTGTTTTTTTCTGTTTCGTAGAGCACTGTTAGAGCATGGAAGGACCGACAGTCTACTTTCTGAGATGTCTCGAACTTTGGGTGTCCAAGCTGTTCATATCAGACCTCCCATTTTAACACCTCTTCCTGAGGTTCCAGTTGAACCTTCACAACCAGCTGTCATTGTGAAAACAGCCAATGGAGGTGGAGGACACAGAGTACCCACGACGGATGGAGATGTGAGCGATCTTGGAGCAGCGCTTATAGCTCTCGCTTGCATCATTGTGGTGCTTGGTTTTGTTGGAATTGTATATCATTGTTGCATGTGGTCTAAGTAAGCAGCATTCATAATAGAAATATTCGAGAACAGTAACTAAGTTATCAATCTTTTTGCAGTCTTTATTAACTGATTCGATAAAATATTATTTATAACAGAGAATATCAACACAGCTTATTTTTAGTTATTGGTCTTAAAATACAGTAAAAGTATTTTTTAATTGCTAACAATGAGTATGGATTGTTCTTTTATCTAATTGCAGGTATTTAGCCTACAGAGAAAGAGTGAAGCGACTTTACGTTGCCCCAAGATATGAACCTGTGTTTGTCGAACCTAGTCTTAAAGAATATGAAACGCAGGTGAATAGCCATACACTTATAAACTCGTGATTCTTGTTAGTTCATTTGAAAAGTGATATTATGTAACAATCACTTCCTTTGTGCTTCCACACTCCCGGTATTTTTTCAGAAATACCTACTTTCTTAAGTCATACATGTGTTACTTATTCAAATAAAAAAGGGTTGTCTTTATGCCAAGTACAATAAAGTACAAATAGTATACTATAAAAAATTCCGGAAAAAAATTTCATCAAACAGGGTGCCGGTACTTTTTCCCAAACCGGAACTTATTACGGAGCAGAAATTTGATATACCATAATTTTTACAGTTACAATTACCGTAAAATCATTGAATCATTTTAATAAAATAAATACTACTTTAAAAATTACGGTATAATATTTTATGGTTAAAATGGATTTTACAGTAAAATGAATTTTACAGATGAAGCACTCAAAGTCCCGGTACTTTATACTGTAATTTGATCTAGAATTTTACATGCATCAGGCATATAATCGTCTCGGTACTATAATAAAGTACCTTCATCATTATCGAAACACTGAATAAAAGAACCTCTTTAAGCAATATAGTTCATGTAATTACCTCCCCCTTTTATGCAATATTAAATTATTAACTTTCAAAAATATACTTGTTCATATTACAGTATTACTGTAAGCAATTGCAATACAAAATTTTGCTAGCAGAATGCATATGAACTCTTAGTTTTCTAAAACTTTCTAAAAACAACTTCTTGTAAAGATAAATATATATTTAGAGGAAATACTATTGCTGACAATTGTTGTTTTACAACTATGATTGAAGATGCAAGTAAATTATTGGTTTTATTTATTAACTTTTATATTTTTAAGAGTGTTTTTATCCTAATTTAGCAAAATTGAAAGAAACGACGTTTCTTCATTCCTTAAGCTACCTAACGCTCTTAATACTCATGGAACGGTCATAGAATTTTTGCACTGTTTTCAACCCTAGTAAAACTTGCACTGTGGCAGCTTTAAAATGGTTCCAAATTGAACCACATTGTTATACTTCTTAAACTAGATTACACAATAAAATAGTTCAATGTGAATGGAATCATTATCTATTTTAACGTCTCAGATTTCATTGAAATTTCGTCGTTTTAGGGTTCAAGATACCGATATAATGGTTAAACATTGAACTGAGTTTTAATTGATACTATAATTATACTATTTAATTTGATCTCTTTAGGTTCTTCAAATGAGCATTCCCCTTGATGATGAAATTGGTGGTAGTGTACAAGATCCTCACCTATCCCTAACATTACGAGGTATGGAAGGCATAGCCTACATCGGTGGAAGGGATGGCACTGCTTCAGCTTTTGGTGGACATATCACTGATAATAGTTTTTCCACCGGAGGCTCTTCGCTCAATGAAAGCAGGAGCTCCCTAGGTCATAGTAGTACAGCTAGGGCAACAAGTAGTGGTCCTTCAGCTCTAGATGAACCCGGTGACCTCATGATTCCAGCAACCAACCCACTGTTCGAGGACCCAGATCAGTATGTATAAATTTATAGATCCTTCTTTGACAATCATTTTATAATCATCATTGAACAGCGGGCCCAAATTTTGAGTTCTCAACTACTAATGTTCAACTCCGTAGCCTTGTAATTTTGAAACCAATCTAGAAGACAAGAGAACTCCTGGATCATGTATTGGGTGAAATCTGCCTTAGTGGAGGACATTTTAAGGAACTAACCCCCATTTGCGTTACATGGAGAGAAAACCAAGAAAAGCTTTCATGGTTATCTTGACGGCTAGAGGACTCTTATGCATGATCTGTCTACCACTAAGTGTGGCCAGTTCGAGCCGGGTGCGAAATTCGAATCAACCAGCCATCGATGGGATTCGAATCCGGTTCACCTACAGCGCTCTATTTAAGAGTCACCACGGCTTTTTGATATTCATTATCAAATTTGGCATGGTACCTCATGCTTAATCAAGAAAGAACTGTTAAAGATTTCTCCATGAACTGTTAAAGATTTCTCCATGAACTGTTAAAAATTTCTCCATGATAGCTTACTTCTAGACTTAGTTTACCAGTTTCTCATTCCAATTTAAACGTGACCAATTTAAACGTGATTACATAATCAACTGAATGATTTTGTTTTTAGCCGTTTTTAGAAGGGCTTGAAGGTCAAAATGTTTTCAAGGTTCTTTGACAATCGCCATCAAATGTTCATAAGAAATTGAGTTTTTTTTTATTGTAGAATTCTTCCTATGATTCATGTACTCATTACTGCTACATCTTGAAAGCCCCTTAATGAGCACATTTTCTTACTAATCTTCAGTGATCTTAAATGATTTGAATCCAGAATTTTACGCATTTTACCAAAGTAATGTGCACAATAACAGTATTCCGTTAAAGTTTAAAAATTTGTTTCTCTTATTCTATCAAATAATTTATTGATTGCTTTTACTTGATTCTTATTCTATAGAAAAAAATAAATACCATTATGTTAATTTCCTTAATTATTGTAATACTTTAAACCATCTGATTCCTGGTTTTAGAGTTTTTAAAGTACTTGATAATTTATTCTATCAACTAATTGGTAGATTGTTGTGACTTGATTTTTCAAATAGCTTAATATTTATTACTTAAATGTGCAGAAGCATTGTTATTGCTCCTCATTTTAATAGGTAGCGTGCAGATTACCTAGGTAGTTAGAAAATTATCCAGGTGATTTTAGAAAGTAAACATTTTGAATGAAACCGTTTTAGAACTTTAATAGATCACTCTAGTTAAACTGCACATTAGCTATATACGAGTAATATGTAGAACAGCTGATTTCTTCAGTTCAGAAGTAACATATGTGGCAAATTTCATTGACATTCGTTCACCAATACCAACACTCTCAGAAAACTTTCATGATGACCAGCCTGCATTGACTGAACATTTTTCTCATATTTTTTGTGTGTAAATTGAGTTTTTTTTTTATATATGTTATAAAAAAGATGTATTCCAAATTTTTATTTGTAAAATTATCTTTCTTTTGATTGAAATTATGCGTGGTTTAAATCAAATTACTAAATTTTTAATATTTCTGTTCTCAGGGACGACGATTTAGTTGCCTCTTCTAAAGCTGGTCCATCTGAGGGTAAAGTTGCTCTTGTAGAAACACATGAGCCCCCACATAGGACTAAATACTCTGCTGAAAATACAACGGAACTTTGATGAAACTCGAATTTATTCAGCTTTTCACAGCAAGACTGGCAATATTTTATTGCCATTTGTGCAAGCCATACCTCTTTAAGGAGAACGAAAAAGTGATCAAACCTAGTGTCAAATGATAGATTTTATAGACAGACTCATGACAGTGGCATGAACCACTTGAGATTATAATTCATGTTTTTGTACATAAGAAATTAGGTATTATTTTAAGGTTCTTTGTAAAATATGATTCTTCTTCTCTGCTTAAAATATCGATATTTTTACCTGTGTGATGATTCAAAACATTGATCAATGATATCAAAATGCCGATAACTAAATATAAATAATAACATGCATTCAAGGAGCAGTTAAACTATTCAATTGTCATTACTTTTTAATCAGTTCTTGCCCAAAACATCGCTATCGTAATCGATAAGATAATACAAATCGTCGATTCTATATCGCCTAAAACACTAATATTGAGATAAAAATGACAGTATGCATTCCCAACTGATAACTGTTGTGGTGTTTTTGTTTTGAGAAATCAAAAACACCGAGGTTCGAATCAGTGATATTAAAAGATTGGTATCGATAGATAATTTATGGAATGTATTTCTAGTTGTTAAACTATTTAACTGTTTTCGCGTTTTTGAATTCTAATGCTCATCGATGTCGGGAATGCAAAATAAACTCTTACCTTTAATTTTGAAAGAAATTGGACAAATATAAGAAATTTGTAGTCTATTTTTTTACAATAGTGTTATTTTCCTTATAGGCATCTACTTTATAATCAATTGTAAATTCCTACTGAATAATTATATTGATTACTCAGATAAAAAAAAAACTGTTTATGCAAAAACTGCTTTTATAAAACTGCTAGAATAAATGTTCAACAGGAAAACAACACTTACGTTTAAAACATGCTTTTACTCACATGCTTTTAAGATGGAAGCATTTTTTATATTATATATATACATATATTGAAAAATCTTCACATTTAATTATTGATTAGTCTGTGATAATTAAGAAAAACTATTAAATTTATATATTATCCATTTGCATTTTTCATTTTAATGATCTATCAGTAAGTGTTTTATATATTCATTCAATCATGCGTTTAAAAATACCATTAAATGTGGGAATTACATTTTAATATTTTTCATATTATAAATAGTAGAAAAAGAGAAAAATTAAAATTATTGCAAAAGAGTGTGTCCCAATTTTGCTTGTGTCATTGAAATTATTCCATTGTAAAAAGTTCTTGTTTTGAACATTGCCATCGTAATTTTACAGAATTTAATAAAATTAAATTAGTCAGTAAAAAATTTCAATTTAAAAAAAATAATCAAATAAAGATCACTTGTCTTATCAGAATTTAATCAATATTTAATGTCAATGTGATACATATTGATATTGTTTATATGTAATTAAAAATCTATCCTGATTACATTTTAATTATATTATATATACTTTATTATCTGTGCTTTTATTATTAGATATTTCAGCACAAAAAATGCTTTATCGTGTTTAAATAAGGTGTTGTTAGAAGATAAAAATTAGAACGTCCTGTTCTGAAAAGAAAGTATCATTTGTAAATATATTTTGTGCCATAAAAAATATTTGCCATAGCATGATTAAACACGGCTGCTTTAATGATAATTCACGTCATATTTGCACGCCTTTCAAGGAATAAACAAAAATTAAATTGAATATTTAGGTATTGATGTAATTTTGCTACCATTAATATTTCTGACTAAAATAAAAATAACACTAAATCTTTTTAACGTGAAAAATTCTTTGAATGCAAATTTTAACAGTTTTACAAATTTTATTCAATTTAAAAAAAACTATTTTTATTACAATTTTTAAATTTAGTAAATGCTGTGTTTGGATATTATGTATGAGAACACAAAAACCAGTTATCCAATATTAATTACTGCTGAAATTTACCATAAAAATTTTTTTTTAAAAGATAATAAAATTTATCTGTATTTATTTTTTACGGAGTGAGTTAATTAAAATAACACACTATTACAATGATTAAATGAATTTAATTTTATTTAAATTTATTTATATAATAAAAAAAGTCTCAAATTTGTTTTTTGTGGATTTAGAATGTTTTTTCAGTCTTTAAACTAAAAAGTCTTATTTCATTTGCTTTTAATAATAAATATCTTCTTATGTCCTATAAGATACTACATTTAATTTCTCTTCATGCCTTATAGGAAATCATTATAAATCTTTCATCATTTTGATATATCGGTATATGTGTTCATTACTTCATAAATGAATTGGATAGAGAATATATGTGCATTTCAATAACCAGACGTACTGCCAAATAAAATGTACAGTGTATCTTAAGCTTGTAAAATAAATAAATTATTTTTCTAAAAGAATTTGAGTTATACTTATTTTGTTTGTGTTTATTTCCAGTAAGAAAAAGCAATTTTTATTCGTCTATATTTTGAAGTAGCTAGTCTCAGTATTGTATTTTCAATGTGAAAATGCTTATTTCAGAGTTTAAGAGCGAAGGAGTAATTGAATATTAGTATAATTATTACTTTTTATACCATGCTTTGAAACATTTTAATATCCGGCGATATAAGATTTCAAACGGCAGTAAAATATACCCTAATTTGCTTTCACAATAAACCTCATACCGATACAAATTCAGGAAATATTAACTTTTTAATTCCAACTGAATGATAAAAAAGTATATATATGAAATATATAAATCATCATTCCTAATAAATACGCTTTTGTAACTTTTAAAAACATATTTAATATTGGTACTTAACAATATATGTATTTATATTATTTTACTTACTGCTAAGTTAAAAGATTTATAAAAAGTGATAGTATTTGAATTCAGGTCTACGTGGACCATACTTAAGATTAATTATTTGAAGGAATGCTAAATGTTTGAGACAATATAATGATAAAACACATTTACAAACTGTTCAGTAGAGCGTTTTTAGCTTCAGTTTACCATTATTTGTAGACAATAAGATATTTTTGAGTGCTGTTTTAGTGCATTTTTCTCTCGCTGTTAGAAAAATCCGATAATTATTAAAGTGTATGTCTGCACATAATCTGAAGGAACAGTTTGTAAAATGTGCTGTTTTAAAAAATTATGATTAATTACATGTTAATTTGTTTTTATTTCAATCAGCATTTTTGTTACAAAAATATCTCGGTGGTTAAAATCATGATTTTAATTACGATTTAAATCAAGCTGATCGGAGAAACCTTTTAGAAAATAATACTTTATTAGTAATTTTTAATAGAAAAGACAAAAAGAAATTCTATTTCGATACATTATAAAATATACATTTTAAATAGTGATAGTTAAGAATGGTAATATGAAGCTTATAAAGCTCATATGTGTAGTGTTCCTTTTATCGGCCAGTAGTTTTTAAAACTTCTAACTCAACAACTTATATAACTTATCTAACTCTAACTCAGCAACTAATTCATTAGTAAGTCAAACATGAGCATATCAAAAAATATTTAAAAAATTTAAATAGTTTTTAAACATACTTTGTAATGGCCAACTTTTTCTTTTGATGTATAAGCAGCGTGTAAAATAATAACAAATTAACACCATCTCGTGTTCAAAATCAAACATTTTTTTTACGTTACCCAAAAAACGTTGGTGTTTTGGAAGAGAAATATCTCACGAGTATCTTTCTGACTGCGGCTGAGCTTGGTTCAAACGTTCAGCAATATTGGCGTTTTGATCTAACCACACTCTTGAAACTGTATACACTGTCATATAATAGCTCTTTAAATTTTGAATTGAACAACCAAAAATATTGTGTGAAGAAACACTTTACGTTACGAAAACGTCAGTTTTGGAGTTCTTTGGATATTGTCAATAGACTATATGCAATCGAGTTTGAAATGTCTTGAGTTTGTTTATGTTTTACGTACGGGTATACTTACACAGAAAAAGCCTCCCATTACGAAACGTATGTATGTTTTAACTGTATAATAAAGATAATTATGTGTTAACATTAAAATATATGTTGATTGCATTGAATAAATTTATAATACTTAATTTCTATACGTTTCTGTTCTGTTAAGCCTAATTTGATTTTGCCTTATTAATCTCTTTGAGCTACGTGCATATTTGATTTACAAACAATTTTAATTTTAGAATTTGTGTATGCATGCAAGTGCATCCTAAATTAAGGATACTTTATATTGTATAGTATGAAATGTTTTTGGTTTGTTCAACACCAAATTTTCTGCGATATCACACTGTGATTTCTACTGTGTAGGTAAAAAACACTAATAATAGTTGAACATGTATAATGTTGTTTGTTGTTGTTTCTAATGTCACTTGCCAAATCCAGCGAGCCCACTTGGGGAAGCCAAGGGAATTTAAGGCAGGGGGAGCGTTTATTGCTTTTCAGTGGCGCCATCTGTTATGGAAACATGGAAGACCCCGACAGATTTAACGTGCACCACTTACCATTTATCACAAAGACAGTCTTCAGCTAGCTGGGGGGTAACGAAGAAAATTATCATTATTGTAACGAAATGCTGCAAGTTATGCCAACCACGTGTTTTTAAAATTCAAAATTCCTATATTATCAAATTTTGAAACATTTGATGTGTAAGTACGAAAAGAAATTAAATTCGAATAATATTTGTTATAAATTCAATTCGAATTCACTCGAATGATTGCTCCGTATTCTTAAACGGTAATAAATAGAGAAGCGTATATTGCAATTATTCAACAAATTTATAGCAACTGATTTAAATTGTTTTCAATAAAATCTGTGATCTATAATATTTTAAACTAATCTTTTAAGGTAATTAAAAAATTGTATATTTCAAAAAATGTTTAAACTATGAAAGCGTTAGTTATCAGTTTATTAGTCGTTAATTAAAAAAATATTTTTTCAACTATTATGAAGTCAAAATTTTAATTAAAAAATACACAGTTTTTGCAGTTTAATAGATGTTTTATTTATCTAATCACATGAAGTATAAAATGACAGACTAAGAAATAATACAACAATCTAGCTTCATTTTAATTATTCTCGTAATCAGTATAATACACTAATTCATACTGATCGTCATTGGTTTCAATATCATTCCCTAAAAAAGAATTATCATTAAAGTTAATATAAATATTGTCTTGGATATGTATCAAAAATAAACATCCAAAATATATCCAATATTGCGTTGGGTATGTTTTGGATATTAATTTTTAATGCAATGTTCATACATGTGCATAAATATTGTAATAAAAATAAACAACAATTATGTTTACTTCAACTAATAAATTATCTCCAATTTGACTTTAAAGGCGAACTGTTATTTAATGATAAGCCTTACGTAGTTTTTGTTACACATTTAAACTAGTATAAATTATTAAACAATGGCTATAAATTCCCTCATTTGAATCTCTTAAGCAGTGGAACGACAAAAAAAAATACATTAATCAATAATTTATGCAGAGTGTAATAATTAATAAAAAATAAAAAATATTAAAAAAATTAAAACTGAAATTGATTAAAAAAAATTTAAAAAATAAAATAGACTTATGAGTTTATTTGTAGTATAAATGTAATTTGTGTTACCGACAAGTACTAGTTGGAATAAACTGTAATGTTTAAATGAACCGAAGGAAAAACAATACGCCAGCGCGATCGATAATATTGCTTTAAACATTTGATAAAATTATGAATAATTGATATTTTCTGCTATTGTCGTTATTGATTAATGCCTGAACCACGAACTCCCAAGTCTTCTGGATTAGATTCAAAATTACAAGGCTACGGAGATGTCATGTTTTTAGGTATCGTGATAAAATTCCTAACTTTTACTAAATTTTATCGCTTCTTATGAAACTATATTTTATTGTTAAATTTACCAAAATCATTACCAAAGCGCTTCGGTAAAGATTAACGATCTTTATAGTGTTGAGCCAGAAACACGCTTAATTTTACCATATTTTGGTGGTTTCTATTATAAATTTTTCCGAGCCGTGGGGGCTCAGGGAATAGAGCGTTTGCCTGAAATATAATAAGGTGATAAGATGAACTGGATTCGATACGAATTCCGCACCCGGTTCGCACCGACTACAGTGTTGACGTAAAATATCCTCAGTGGTAGATGAATCATGGGTTAGAGTCTCGAAGCACCAAAATAAAAGATACATTTTTTCTCGGTGCAGTAAGAATACGCGGAATGAACGCTCGCATATCATCTTACGTCTCTATTGGCCTGCAAAATCGCCAACCGTGAAGCGTATAGAAAATTCATGAGACATCTTAGAACAGCAAATAAAATAACAAATACAACGTCGCATTAATTTGCAGGATTAAAACCATCTAAAATTTTAATTTTAATTGGATTTAAGTTTCAGCAAACGACTTGATGACTTTGGAACAAAATTTTATGAAATATTTTTCTTCCCAAATCAGTGTGGTTAAGTCCTACTTTGAGTTATATGGTATTAAATGAAAAAATTTTTATGATTTTTAAAAGGATGACTACTTTAAAATACTCACCTGGTTGAAGTGCGATTCCATTTTGCAGCATATTGTCTTCCATCTTATATTCGCTGTCATCATAGAATTCTTCGACACTTTGGCTATCTTCTTCTGTGTCGTAATTTTCTTCTTTACCAAAGCAAGGACTTATGGGAGGCAACCATTGATTAATGTCTCGTATACAGACGAATGATGTTTCGTTTGCTTGATATCCTTCATGGCATTTGATCCAGCAAATTCTGAAAGTTTACAATATTTATTTTAAAGAAACTTATTTTCAAAGGTAACCTTTTTATGTAAGACATAGTGCAAAGTATTCGCCGTGTGGGACAAATCACTAGTTGATGTCTAATGATGTTAAGGATAGCCAATGACGATTTTCAAAGCTTTATTTTTTTGGTAATATATAGAGAGATCACTTTCAGTTAAAATCCGCCACAAATTTGAATTTATCGCAAAACGTGACTCGGAAGTTTCTTTGCAGACTGTACTGGATAGAAAATTACTATGTTGAAAAAGTGTATGTTACTGTCATAAAGTTAAGAAGTTTGTATTTCTTTTTTACCCCACAGGAATTTCTAATTTTTCTTGTTATTGCTTCTTGTTATTAAATGATTTTTTGAGATATTTTACTTGTGTCTTTATTTTTCTTATTTGTTTCGGTGAAAACACTTTGTAATTGTAGTGTTATTCATGTTATTCAATGTATGTAAATAAAAACATTTATCTGCCTTTTATTTCTACCGCGTTTTCAACTGCCTTTTGTTTTTATAAATCTTTTTTTCCCTTCATCTTTTTTTTCCTTCCATATTCTCTTCTACTTCTATGACTATTGGATTCACGCAATCTGCCTGCGCAGATTAAAGTGTTAATGTTGAGTATCTTTAATTTCCTCAAATTTTCACTTGTCTTCAAAGAAAAATTTTAAAAAGTAATTCTTATTCATATAAAGATGCAGAGGAGCATGTAGTGCTAAAATGCCACCAATCTATTGAATAAATTAATTTTTTACTTATGTGGGTACTGTCGAAATATTGTTTGAATTTATAGTATTTTATTAATTTTGAAACTCAACATACAATTTAAAATAATTAAGACCAAAAGATTTATTTTAAGTATTATTCCAAAAGGTTAAAGGCTAAATAGAAGAAATCTCCTCTAGCACCAAACGTTTCCTTACCCGGATTTTCACCACCGGTAGGTAATGAGTTTAAATAATTTGTAATGACTAATAATTATTTAGAATTAATAATTATTAGCTGTTAATAAGTAACATTAATTACTATATATAAATTAGACTTAATAATCACTATTCATTAGTTCAACTTAGGTGCTACTCAGTTTGTGTTTATTACTATCATTAATGGGATAGAGTAAAGTTTTAATTTAAATTATTAAATTATATCGCATAAATATTTAATCAACATAAAAAAGATGAACACTGAATACTAACAATAGCACGAACTGAACTGCTTAATAAAATATATTTATTATTTAAAAATTATCTTTAATTAAATTTGAATATCGTAAACAAAATCATATCTTTCTTAAAAGTAGAAATAAGTAACTTTATACTATATAAATTGAAAATTTATAAAAAGAATCAGTTGAGTTGTTTCCCGGAATTAAAAATTTAAAAAGTATCAAGTAAAAAAGGTAAAAACGAAAGTACGAAAATAAAAAAAATCCTGCATAAAAACAAAATAGTAAAGCCTAGAAATATACACAACTTCCAAACAAACTTAAATGTAAGTTTGAATCCTACTTAATGTCAGGGTAATGACTTTAAGACCGTTTTATGATAACTGAATTAAATTATTTTAGTAATGTTTGTATATGTCAGCATGTTCTTACTTTTTGTATGTCCACATCAGGCATTCCACATTTCCATGCAAAGACTGGCGATATATTGGACACCAACTATCATCTGATTCTCGACGCTTCCTTCTTTTTGTAGGTCCTATGGACAATATACAATGAATATTCACCAAAATTTATCTTCTATATTGCTTACCACAAAGAGCAGAAACTCTATGTTTAAACTAGGCTAATTGTTCATTATTAACTTTTTACAGAACATAATTAATCTAAAAGTTACGTATATAATAAATCAGCAGCGTCCCTTAAAAATTATGCTCTGAAAATGCATAAGAAATCATGGGTAAATCTGACTAAAAAGCCGTAAAGCTTCTGCAGTAATCAATTTTTTTATAGCTTAAGTAATCAATTAATATTAAGCTGCTTCCATGAAAAAGCAGCAGCGAAATATCAAGATGCTTCTGTCTTTTGTTCTTTAAGGCAAAAATTTAAAATTAAAATGCAATTCAGAAAAAGTATGTGTTGTATATAATCTTGTTTTTAAGAAAAAAGCACATTTGTTGACACAAGTAATAATCTAATTTTGTGTAATCTTTTGACATTTTCAAAATTTTTCGTACAACCTCATATCTAAAACGATTGATTTAACAGCGAAGTAACTAAACAGAAATATTTTTCTGGCCAGGTTTTTTCAGGTTTTATTTTTATTTTCAACAATATATTTGGCTAATGTATGTTTTCAACTTTTAAAACTACTTCAAATATATACTTTTTTTTTTTTACTTTGATTATACACTTTTTTTTACTTTGAATATATTCTTTTTTAACTTAGAATTCATATTTTGACCATATTTTACACTTTTGAACTTTTTCTTCAGAAATTATCTGGTTCTAAAATATACCTAACACCCTAAAAGTATGAAAAAAGAAAAAACATTACTCGGTTAAAAAAAAAAAAATTACAGATAAAACAAATAGCCAATTTATGCAACAATAAATTATAAAGTTACCAAAAAACGTTTTTTTCCTTGTTCTGCATATTGTTACGAGTTTTAAAAAGAACTATAAAAACTATACAAATCCTAATTTAAAACCAAAATGATTTTAAAGAAAATTTTAGCTTCATCAAAAATTACTTATCTTACTTTTAAACATTTAAAAAAATCAATTTAAAAATTTCTTGTTTAAATTGTATGTTAAATAACGTTATTGATCATAAAATGCATGGCTAAATTATTTTCGTTATAGAGTAAATTTATTTGAAGGAGATACAATTAAACTTTTGGGTTGTGACTCGTGACCAATTCTATTCATCCTTTTGAATAAACTGAAAAATGCTTTTCCTGGTGCTCCCTTTCATTTTTATACACAAATATGGTTTTCGATTCACTTTAATTTATATGATCTTCCTAATGGTTCATAACCTGAAACGCATCTGCAATACAAAACGAACTTTCTCCACCAACCTAATTATTAATTACATTACATTTCAAAACTATTGCCGCCTCCCCCTAACCCTCTTATCTATGAGTTTGAATTATATATTTGAATTATATAAAAAAACTAAGATACAAATCCTCCAAAATTAAATAAGTGGCAAATAACAGCCGATATTAAATAAATAATCCCGAGATATTGAAGAAGTAAGGCATTACTTGATTAAAATTTCAAAAATATACAAATGAGAAATAATTGTTCACATGTTTCAAGCGCTTTCAAAAATAGGCTCCTATTTTCAAGCACTTGGCAAACTTGAATATGAAGAAAAAGTGGTTTGAAATATAAAACGTAAAGTTGCCAACAAATAAGAAAAAATAAAGGTGAGAAACAAAACTATTAAAACCACTGTAGTCGAGAGAGAAAAAGGATGAAAAACAACATAAGAAAAACGACAGTGGCTGAAGGGGGCAAATCAGGGTTAAATGCATTTGACCCTGATTTCCCTTCTTGGTCAATGTCGAGCAAAATGCATTTCCACACGCTCAACAGCTCCCCATAATGTGTGGAAATGCATTTACTACTATTTTCTGATTTATCACTCTCGGCCGCTATTATTTCTTTGTTATGTTTTTCATCTTTTTTTTTCTCTCTCTCTCGACTAATGTGGTTTTTCTAGTTTTGTTTCTCAACTTTATTTTTCCATATTCTGTTGGCAACTTTACGTTTTCATATTTCATATCACTTTTGTTTCTTCACATTCACGTTTGGTAAGTCTTGAATCGGGGCTCATTTCGAAAGGCGACATGTTTCAAGAAGTCTTGAAAATGGGCGCCTTTTTTTAAGCGCTTAAAATATGTCGACTGTTATTTGCTATTTATTTATTTTTGAAGCGAAGTTGAAGTTTATTTTGAAGTTTTTAATCAAATATCTTACCGCTTCAGTTTCGTGGGATTATTTATTTAATGCTACAAACCCATTTAGTATCTCAGGATTCGGGTGGAATAATTAATTTTCCGAAATGTTTGCCCTGTATCGTCAAAACGTAATGCCCTCGTGTCCAAGTGAGGACGTATTCTTTTGTAGTATATTTTATTCTTATAATTTTAATCATGGAAAAACAGATTATTCAAACTTTATTTATTAGGTACAAGAATGTATAAAATATTACCAACCTTTCCAGTAATGTAATACATCCTCCAAAAATAAACGAAATATCATATTTTCACTTCTTACTTGAATTCTCCATCGACTTCCAAGGAGATTATATTCTTTGATCTATCTTGAATGGCCTGTTACCTGGTGCAGTTTTAAAGAACTGTTTGGAGTCCCCAAATGAGGACTACTTTGAAGTTACAGTTACAGAAATTACACCTCAAATGCGAATATGAATAACATTATAAAGCGAAAATGTATATGTAGTTGTTACTTAAGCCACTTGCCAATCAGCTAGCCAGTTTGAAATCAAGCGAATTTTTAACACTTTCATTGCGGCAATGACGCGCTCTTGTCCCACCCTCTAGAGTCTTGTCCTCTGTGTTAGAGTTCCCCACACAACCCCAAAATTGAAAGAACACGCAATTCCTTTAAAATTTGTTTATTTTACTTTAAAAAAAATAATAATCGATTGCAATCGATAACTACATTCACTAATGGCAGTCAATAACGAATATTCCTGAAAGACAAATAGTGTCTTCAGTCGCGATGACAAAGTTAAGGCAGAGGGTGCTTTCCTTGTATTTTCAATGGCACCAACTCTAGCCAAAAATACGACTTCAACCACACAAACGGCACAGTTCATTTTACAGGATGAACCCAATCATAATCCTTTCAATCCTCTTCAGATCGTAATTTTGACCTGAAACCAGAAAACAATCAATCTCCAGTTCAGTACCCCAAGAGGTATTGATTTGTTATAGGAATTAAGAGAATTTTGGGACCCCAACAGATTTAACGTGCACCAGTCACCATTTAATACATCGGGTTCTTCGGCCGGTGGGATTCGAAATCTCGTTCTCACTAACACGAGCCCAACGTTCTGCCAACCAAGCTATCCCGGCCCTAATATACATATACTATATGTCCTCATATGAGGTTCATATGCATGAGACGGATTAATACGAAAAATAATGACTTTCAAATGACAGTCTGGGAGTTAACAACAGCACCTGAAAAAATAACAAATGCAGCTAACATTGCATGACTTACCTTTCATACTCAAAGACACATTCACCGTTTTGTTTGCTTTATTATCTAACGAATTCATTGTTGCATTTCCTAATGAAGAATTTAAGTCCACCATCTTGGAATAGACCTCTGTTGGTAGAGCATTTTGAAAAACCTTAAACTCGGAAGGATTTGATAGTTCTTGGATATTCTCCTTGGGCACAATATGTGCATGAACAGAAAATACAGCTGAATTTGAATCCGGAAGAATAGTTTCATTTCGGATTTGCTTCGTTTTTGAATTATTTTTCAGTTGATGAACTTCTGTAAGCTTTGTAAAAGGGTGATATTTTTCTCCCTGAACTTTTGAAGTTTTTCTAGAAATATTGTGAATATCTTCATTAATCTTCAAAGATTCAAGGCCTGGATATTGATTATATCTGTTGTTGATTGTTTTGTCCAAAACAGGATTATAGCGATGGTTTTTAAAAGTAGATCTTCCACTGATAGTGGATACTTTAATGTTGTTTTTGTTATTGTAGTTACTTCTGTTAATTAAATTGTACTTGTCTGGGTATTGGTCCGTTTTCAAGTTAGGTTTGTTTTTTAAATTGTCAACACCTCTGTCTTTATAGTAGAAATTAGAGAAAGGTGCTTCGTAGTTTGGATAATTTCCATTGTTCCCGTTGAATACTGAACCATAACCGTAATCGTAATCTACGTAAGGATATTCATTATGCAATATATTGTGTTGGTTAGGAAAGAGCGGGTAATTTCTCTGAAAAGCGTAATTGTCGTAAGAAGGAAAATTATTAGGCTGGTGTTGATATTCGTTTTCTGAACTACGGTGATAATAATTTAATCTTCTTTGGTGGTTCGGCTGAAATCTATTTAACGAATCTGTTAAGTAAATTGACTTTAATTGATCATTTAGTCTAAAATTTGGAAATTCGTCGTTTTTCCACTCTGTCTGGAGGTAAGAAATCCGAGGAAAGTTTTTATTATATGACTGAACTTTCAAGTTTTGTATTTCTAAGCACACCGGATCAAATGGCTGCATTTCACAATGTATGAAATCAAATGGTACAAAATTTGGTAAAAGTGGAGAGTATAAATTATAGCCGTTGGTTTTTGGATTTTGAGGCCTAAACATTCGACTTGAAGTNCGAAATTATGTTCTAAAGTAAAATAAACAAAATATCAGATTTTCACTTCTTACTTGAAATCTCCATCGACTTCCAAAGAGATCATATTCTTTGATTTATTTTTAATGGCATGTTACCGGGTGCAGTTTTAAAGAACTGTTTGGAGTCTCCAGATGGGGACCACTTGGAAATTACAGTTACAGAAATTACACTTCAAATGCGAATATGAATAACATTATAAAGCGAAAATGTATATGTAGTTGTTACTTAAGCCACTTGCCAATCAGCTAGCCAGTTTGAAATCAAGCGAATTTTTAGCACTTTCATTGCGACAATGACGCGCCTTTGTCCCACCCTCTAGAGTCCTGCCCTCTGTGTTAGAGTTCCCCCACAACCCCAAAATTGAAACCAAACTCAATTCCTTTAAAGCTTGTTTATTCTACTTTAAAAAATAATAATCAATTGCAATCAATAACTATATTCACTAATTGCAGTCAATAACGATTATTCCTGAAAGACAAATTATTTCTTCCGTAGAGAGAAAAGAGTTAAGGCAGAGGGTGCTTTTCTCTTGTCTTTTCAATGGCGCCATCTACGGCCAAAAATACGTCACAGCCCGTTTAACAGGATGGACCCAATCATAATCCTTTCAATCCCCTCCAGATCGTAATTTTGACCTGTAACCAGAGAACAATCAATCTCCAGTTCAGTACCCCAAGAGATATTGATTTGTTATCGGAATTCGGAGAATTTTGTGAGCCCAACAGATTTAACGTGCACCAGTCACCATTTAATACATGGGGGTTCTTCGGCCGGAGGGATTCGAAATCTCGTTCTCACGAACACGAGCCCAACGTTTTGCCAACCAAGCTATCCCGGCCCTAATCTATATATATGTCCTCATATGGGGTCCATATGCATGAGAGGGATTGATACGAAAAATAGTGACTTTTAAATGACAGTCTGGGGGGGGGAGTCAACAACAGCAACTGAAAAAATAAAAAATGCAGCTAACATTGCATGACTTACCTTTCATACTCAAAGACACATTTCCCGTTTTGTTTGCTTTATTATCCAACGAATCCAATGCTGCATTTCCCAATGAAAAATTTAAGTCCACCATCTTGGAATATATCTCTGTTGGTAGAGCATTTTGAAAAACCTTAAACTCGGAAGGATTTGATAATTCTTGGATATTCTCCTTGGGCACAATATGTGCATGAACAGAAAATACAGCTGAATTTGAATCCGGAAGAATAGTTTCATTTTGGATTTTCTTCGACTTTGAATTATTTTTCAGTTGATGAACTTCTGTAAGCCTTGCAAAAGGATGATATTTTTCTTCCTGAACTTTTGAAGTTTTTCTAGAAATATTTTGAATATCTTCATTAATCTTCAAAGATTCAATGTCTGGGTATTGACTATATCTACTGTTGATTTTTTTGTCCAAAACAGTATTATAGCGATGATTTTTAAAAGTAGATCTTCCACTGATAGTGGATGGTTTAATGTTGTTCTTGGTGTTGTAGTTACTTCTGCTAATTAAATTATACTTGTCTGGGTATTGGCCCGTTTTCAAGTTAAGCCTGTTTTTTAAATTGTCAACACCCCTGTCTTTATAGTAGAAATTAGAGAAAGGTTCTTCGTAGTTTAGGTAATTTCCATTGTTTCCGTTCAATACTGAACCATAACCGTAATCGTAATCTACGTAAGGGTATTCATTATGCAATATATTATGTTGGTTAGGAAAGAGTGGGTAATTTCTCTGCAAAGCGTAATTGTTGTAAGAATGAAAGTTATAAGGTCGGTGTTGATATTCGTCTTCTAAACTGCGGTGATAATAATTTAATCTTCTTTGGTGGTTTGGCTGCAATCTATTTAAAGAATCCGTTAAATAAATTGACTTTAATTGATTATTTAGTCTAAAATTTGGAAATTCGTCGTTTTTCCACTCTGTCTGGAGGTAAGAAATCCGAGGAAAGTTTTTATTATATGATTGAGCATTCAAGTTTTGTATTTCTAAGCACACCGGATCAAATGGCTGCATTTCACAATGTGTTAAATCAAATGGTACAAAATTTGGTAAAAGTGGAGAGTATAAATTATAGCCGTTGGTTTTTGGATTTTGAGGCCTAAACATTCGACTTGAAGTTTCAATAAAATCTCCGGGCACAGTTTTAGGACTAAATAGTGCTGAAGGTTTATCTTTATTGTTCTGTTTTCTACTAAATATTTTATTTTGCATCGATATTTCAGCTTGTGCATTATTGTGTTTTCCACTTTGCTTCAAAGCGTCGTCTCGTGTATTTCTGTACAGCTTATCTTTATCTGGCATTTTGTTCTGTATATTATACTTAGGTACAATTTTTAAGAAAAGTACTTCGGTATATTTATCTCTATCAGAATTTTTGTTCTGTGCTTTGATAAATAAATTGTCCCCAGAATAATTAACTGAACTATCTTGCATTGATACGCTCTTTTGTGTATTACTTAGTGGATCACTTTCTTTTGATGCTTTAGAATGATTATTATCCGTTAATGTATTGATTTGCGTGTTTCTATACATATTATCATTCTGTATATTTAGTTCTTTTTCAGACTTGTTTTTTACTATTGAAGAAGGTGATATTATTTTTTTGGAATTCATTAACTTTTTACTACCGTTTGCTTGGGATAAAAAAGGAGATATTTTTTTATGATACTCGTTTGGCCACAAAAATTCGTTCGGAACGGCATCAAAACTTTTCAATGAATATTGATCTTGATAACTATCTAGATTAGTTTTATCTTCTTTTTTGCCTCTTGGATTTTCAAATTCAAAGTTAATTGGATCCACGTATCTACTCGTAATTCGAGGCCTTTTTAGCTTTTGAGTTGGATTATTAATTTTTACTGTTTCCTCTTCATTTGTTTCAGGAACAATATCATTTCTGTCCATGAGAAATTCGGAATGGTTGTACAAAATATTATCTGTATTATTTTTAAAACTTTCGGAAGAGAAGCTTATATTTTTGGAAGAATTTGTATGATTGGCTTCTAAATTGAATACTTCAGAGTCATTAGAAATATTAATATTCTTATTTTCTGGTGGCGAAATTATCGAATCTTTCTTACCGTTTGCGGTATGTAACAAATGATGATGTTCTAAATTCTCATCAAGGAGTGATCCTAATTGGAAATTATCAAGTGGAATTTCATCTTCATAACTTATAGAATCATTTAACATGGTAATATCTGATAAAAGAGACAAATCTTCAATAGAATAATCTGAACTTGAAATGTTATCGAAGTCGACAAAAGTAATATTAGTGTTTTGACGAAACCAATTTTCCATACTAAGCAAGCTAGAAATAAAGTTGTCAACGCTTTCTTCATTATAGTTTAAAATCTTAAAATCTTGATCAGATAAAGATGGATCTTTGTCTGTTCCCTCAGTTTTAGAATTGCTACTTTCATCGAAATTTTGTTCTAAAGGAGCTTCTAGAGGCATGGAACTTAAATTTTCAGAAATATTTATATTTTCTCTATGAAGAGATTGTTCATCGGCCATGTATTCGCAAAAATCACCTGCTTTTCCTGGTGGGCATGTTTGACATTGATTCTTAGAACAAGTTAAGCAATTGGAGAATTTATAACAAGCATCTGGGCAAGGTAAACAGTCATAAAAGTTGATTTCATTCATAGTATCAGGACAGCTATAAATATCAATACAAATATAAGAATATGAAAAAATAATTATAAAAATAATATAGCTTACAAGGAAGATACCAGTGGATCCTGGAATAGCCCATCCCGTGGTGATTTTTTTAAAATCTTGCCAAGCAAGTTTTTGAAATCTTGCCAAATTAGGTTTCCTGAAGCTATTTCTTGCAAATTATTTTGAGCGTCTGATCACACCACCAACTTAAACCTGATTGGTTATTTGATATGTATACCTACGCGAAAGTTGGATTTCATTAGAAAAGAGGTAAAAGGGCTTATTTTTTTGCCATTTACTGAATCTTGCTGTTAGAATCACCTTTATTATTTAAATTTTTAACCGTTATTTAATTTAAATATATAATTATTAATAGTTTATAATTTTTTAAAAGTAAGTTATTTTTTATCCCACTAAAAATACTTGAATGAATTTGTTATAATTTAAATTGTTTTCTTTTTTTATAAACAAAAAGCAATGTTAATTCCAGTAATAATCGCTAACTTGGCGAGATTTTAAAAAGTAGCCAGGCGGTGGGCTATTCTAGTATTTTACTGAAGATACTAATCTAAATCATTCACAAAATCAAGCAATATGTTTTAAACGGTTCATTTCTTTTATCAGAAAATAATATATTAAGATACCGTTGTTCATTTTGCCTTGATTGTAAAGATATAAATCATTAAATTTGGGAAATTTGAGCAAAATATGTGTTGAAAATCAAGCAAATTTGCTAAGTGTTTGATAACGAGTACAGTTAAAAAAAACAACTTTAAAATGCTTAAATAATTTCAAACACTCTTTCGTTAGAAAAGGAATTGTTATCTTAAAAAATACTTGCGAAATGCATAGTTGGGATGATGGAATTTTGAAATTGGAATTTACAGGAACTTAATAACTTATTACTAAAACAATTTGACTTTTATTCTAAGTTTTAAATTTAATTTTTTAGTTTTTAACCTTTTGAATCAGAATTTTTATTGCATATACTTTTCATTATTTTGTATTAATTTAGGTAAAAATAAGTGAAAAATATTATATATGAGAAAAATTTTATAATAATTTGTAGCTATGAAATACATCATCAAACACCGGTGTCTTTTTCTGCGTTAAAAGTAAAATCTTCCAAACATGGTTCACTTCCAAACAATAATTTTTCAAATTTTCACTTATTTGCAGTAATTTAGATCTAAGAGAAACATTTATTCAACATTGAAATTTCTTTAATTTACAAAACCATTTATTGATAAATTCCCCAAAATGAATTTCAAAATACTTTTTTTTTTGGTTTTTATATTTTAATACAAAATAATTTCCGCTATAATTTAGTAAATTTCTGATAATTTACAGATTTTTTTAGTAGCTATTAGACTGTTTTTTATAATTAAAAAACTAAAATATATTTTTGCTTGTAATTGGAGATAAAAAATATATTAGTCAGATAAAAATATACTAAAAGGACACCGGTGTTTTTTAGATAGCAAAAACAATTTAATTTTTACAGTCAATTGTGATCTCGTTCGTGGGACAAACATGACTTGCTTGGCGACGTAACTCAGGGTAAAAACTGTGGATTTTTATAATTTATATCAAAATGAATTTCATTTATTTTTTACCTAACTTAAAAATTCAGCTTGATTGGAGAGTGATACTTCTTATAACTGCACTGTTAGGAACGTTCATGTCGTTATTGTAAAAATAATTTTAATTATAAAATATTAATTCTACTTTTTGAAATAGATTTTTCTGTGTAATATTAAATCAGAAAAACATTCCAGTGACTAGAAATGATATATGAAATTTTTTAAAAAATCAATTTTAATTTTTTTTATATTTCGTTTTCTGAATTAAAAAATTTAAATATTTTGAAAAATTATATTTCTTATGCCCCCTACAAGCAATTTTAAAAAATTCTGGCCCAAAAAATATATTTCCGTAAGTAAGAAATTTTCGCTGTATACGGTGATTTAATATAGTTGTTACGTATTAGGAAGGGAAGTAGGTCACATCATAATGGTTGAGAATTGCATAGGAACACATGTCTGAAAATGTCATGGTACGCCGTCAAGAATATTGTGAACTGGCAGTTTATTGCATTGATCGCAAACGTGTTTTTATTTATCTTAATTATCTCAATTTTAATATGTATTTTTGATGTTTCTTCATGAAGAAAATTGCACATCTGTTCCTTTTATTCATTTTCATCGATTTTTGGATGACAAGAACACCCACGTTTGGTAAAGTTTTTATCTCTTTTATTTGCTTATACATAATTCGTCACTCAAATCAAATTTTTAAAACAAAATGTGTTTTTTTTTAATGTTAAATTGTATTGAGTAATTATGTTAGCTTGTTCAGTTTCAGTATAATATCGTTTGTGTGCAGCTCCTCAAATAATAAACTGTCCACCCTAGATAACTTTTGATTTAATGCGAGGATCTTCACATTATAGAACTCTTAATGGTCTGAGGGGGCGACGTCAAATATACTACTTAATTAATGCAGACGATATTTTAAGTTACGAAATCAGACACAAAAACGTTCTTTCTCTGAATATACATACCTTTGCTTCGACGGATTTGGATTTCATACCCCCAAAATACAGGGGATAGCAGCAAACTGAAAAATATAATTTCTATAGTTTGATCAACAGACCAATCCAAACTTGAGACGCCTTAAGTTTACTTTCTGCGTATTTCACTATGTCTCGAGATCTTTTTAAGAGAATTTAAAGCTTTTTGCACACAAAGATGATTCCATGCAAAAAAAATAAATTTCAGTTAGTATTTATTATTTTTTACTATTTAATTAAATAAAAGTCGAAAAAATTTGAAATTGCTAGGTATGCAATTTTTTACATCTTTTCAAAGTATGTATTTTAAATTTTTACATGGCAAAATAAAAAAAAATTTCTAGGGAAATCGGTTGAATAGTTCCTGAGAGATCGAATTTTAAATATGCGACTTCTTCAAAAATCGATTTCTCAGGAACTATCTAATCGATTTCGCTGGAATCTTTTATTTTGCATGTATAAATACATACTTTAAAAAGATGTAAAAATTTGCATACTTAACTATTCGAAATCTTTTAATCTATTATTTAATAAAATTATTTTAAAAAATGATTATTTACTAAAATGTATTTTTTGCTTAGAAATATTTTTGGATAAACGAATTTTATAATTGTGTGCAAAAAATTTCTCAATTTACTCAAGAAGTACTCAAGATATGGTGAAATCAAAACTTTGGATTGCTCTCCTGAGCAAACTATGGGGACAATGTTTCCCAGATTGTGGCTATCCCCAATATTTTGGGTGTCGGAAATCCGAATCCATTGAAAAAAAAGTATGATTATTCAGAGGAAGTATACTTTTGTGTCTTATTTCGGAACTTAAAATATTGTCTGCACTAATTAATTAACATATTTGAGATTACCCACTCCAACCATTAAGATTAAATCCTAAAACATGAAGATCCGATCATTAAATCAAAACTTATTCAGGGTGGTCTTTTTCTTCGATTTTTTTTTTCCTTTTTGACTTACTGTACAAAACAAAATAGTGACAAGAATCATCAAAAATGCAAAACTTTCTTAAGTCTCAACTTCTTTGTTTTGTGCTGTAAATAGAGGTATCGGAAAAAGAATGCATTAAATAGTCTGAAGGAAAGCCTTAAATCTTTTTATAGCAAAATTTCATATATTTTTTTTCTTCAAAAGACTGTGCTCTAAAGAATTCTTAGCTTAAAACTGATTTTTTTTAAAGAAATACCCCTTTTAATCAAGTGTTGCTTTTAAGAATGAAAATTGTCATCATTCATAGCAAAAAGGGATAAAAAAATAATTTTTAATCTCTTCTATTTGTAAATTGTATTCATTATATTTAAAAAAAGAAATCATAAATCTTGTTTCAATGAAAATTCAAATTGTTTTTTCAAGAAGAAATGAAAAGCAACTGAAAAAACTAAAAGAAATAAATGAGAAACGAAGATCTGAGGAATATAAATTTAAAAAAAAAAAAGAGAGAAAGAAATTTTGCATTATATTTTTAGCCAAATACACCCCAGAAAAACAATTTTAAAATTTAATTCACACGAAAAAAGTTTGCTTAAAAAAGCATAACTGACGCACTAACGGTATGAAATTTCCTAATGCGTGAATAAATTGTTTTTAAAATTACTCAAATTTTTTTTAAAACAAGTTAAAAGCGATTGAGCTATAGTAGTATTACAAAACTTATTGAATCTTTATAATAATAATTTTATAATATTATTTTCTGGACAAACCTACCTTTCTACATATACTTCTTGAAATCTTCCATTCTGTCCGCACTTACACTGATGTAAAACTTTTATTGAACAAGCCAAAAAAGGACCATCATAAAGATCTCTTTCACCACTTACATTCCAAAAAACCATCAAAATAACTTCAAATACTGAAACACGAAGAAACAATGTGAAGTAACATGGTATGTTTTGAAATTTGATACTTGTGATAACAATATTAGTTATGTAGTATTGAGGCAGATCCTAAAATATTTTATTTCGTTATCTTAAGACCATTTGACCATAGAATTTAAACAATAAAACTATTAAAATATTAAAAAAAAGTTTTACATTTTTATCAACTTACAATTAGCTAATTTAAATTACTTGCTAATAACAAAGGGACCTTAAGTATTTTTAAAACATTCAATAAATAATGTGCTGGCATACTAAACCCAGTAAAAAATACTTAACAGTAGGTATACTGGACATTGTTCTTTACTAAGACAGTCTTATTTGCCAGGCCAATTTGATCCTTCCCAGATTGATTGTGAGTCGATAAATTAGGCTTCCAAAATCTTAAAATATAATAATTTATTTAATGAAAATCATGAGACACGATCATCAAAATTCTATGGTATTTCATTCGATTTAGTTATCAAAAATCTTACCAAAAATGAACACTGACTTTTTAATTATACTTATACATCAGTTTCTTGCATAATTGAGTTTCCTTTTCTCTATGAATATATTGTGGTACTGTAAAATAATATAATATATGATGAAATGCTCTTGTTACTTTTGTTTTTTTTAATGAAATTGGGGTAACTTAAACTTACCAAAAGGTACCTTATAACCATATAACGTTATAACCTTATAACGGTATCAAATGCCTTCTCTACGCAGATGACTTACTCATCTAGACCGAAACTCCTGAAAACAGTGTTGAGAGACAATCAGAACTAGCCCTTAATCAGGCTTTAAAGGAATTAAACAAATGGTGCCACTTCAATAACATGGAAGTCAACCTGGAAAAGACGTGTTACCAGACCTTCTCCTTGACACATCAGCCTATCAAACTAAAACTATTGTATGAGGACGTTCCCGTTTTATACGCAGACTCTTCTTCATACTTAGGTGTTGTATTCGACCGAAAACTGACGTGGACAGAACACGTGACCAAAGTTTTGGAGAAAGTCACCTCGAGACTTTCCCTAATGAAAAGAATAGCCGGATCAAAATGGGGCTGCTGTAGAAATACCGTCGACATGACATATAAATCATATATACTCCCCCTCATGACTTATTGCTGCGAGCCGCTGGCAGCGACCAGCAAAAAAGTCCTTGACTCGCTGGAAAGATTCCACAATCAGGCCCTTCGACTTATAACAGGGGCCGTTAAAACAACTCCGATTGATGCACTCCTATTATCTACCCACCATATGAACATCAAGACTAGTATAGAAGAGAGGGCAGTTATTTTGTGGGAAAAAATTTTAAGACTATCAGACTGCCTCTCCCTATGGAGCATCCCACTGGCAAATATTGGTCGAACTTTGAAGACCCAGAACGATTTCCTCCAAAGAGTCGTTGAAATAAAAGACCAACTAAATATTACTTGGTAAACAGAAGACCTTATTAGATCACAGTGCCCTAACGAAAAAGAGAGATACTCACTGAGTTTAAACCTGTGTCAAGATGTTTCCAAGAGAGACACAAATGATCAAGTCTTAAAATCTATTGCCCTGGAGACTTTGCACGTACTGTACCCAAAGAACGAATGGCTACATATATTCACAGACGGTTCAACATTGGCTGAAGGCACTAATGCAGGAGCCGGAGTTTCTTGCAACCTTTTTTCATTTTACACCCCGATCGGTTCGTCTAGAACAGCCTTCGATGCAGAAGTATCGGCAATAAGCGTAGCTCTGTCACAACTACAGAATCACGTTGAGAAATTTAATAACGTAGTCATCCTCTCTGACTCTAAAGCCGCACTCCAAGCTATTGCTTCCTCCAAAGTCCCCGCATCTGCCGACATTCTACATTGTCGTCAAGCCCTTCACAGGCTTGACCAACACAACAAAAATGTCGCCATGCAATGGGTACCAGCGCAATGTGAACTTCAAGGTAACGAAACTGCAGATTTCTTGGTCAAAAAAGCCGCCAAGATTCTACAAATATCTCTTAAGCCAGTTCCTTTCCACAGCGCAAAAAGGCTAATAAAAATCTCTCTTCGAACGACATTTGAGGCAAAACTCCAAGAAGCAAATAAAAATAAGGACTGGTTGGAAGGAATTAAAGATATTCCGTCATGGCCAAGAGAAAAATCTGTGGCCCTTTTTCGCCTCGCCACTGGCCATGACTGCTTATTAAAACACCTGTATAAAATCAAAATCTTTTCAAGCCCCTTTTGTCCGTTATGTAGCCTACAAGAAGAAATGGACGCTAACCATCTAAGACGTTGCCCTGCACTTCCTCCTGGGCCCTTGTGGGAACGATATTGGCGGGCGAGATGCATTATTACAGACCTATAGACTCTTTATTTCTGTAGCTCTTGTTTCCATTTTTTGTTCTTTATTTATATTGTTCTTGGCTACAAATTTGTCTTTCATGTCTGCCATTGGAAATAAAAAAAACTTATAACCAAACCTACCTGTGGTTATCTGCGAAAACACTCAAGTCATTCCCGAGTCAATTACCCCAGAGTTATTTAATCATTCCCGAGTCCCAAATACCCCAGATATTTAATCATTCATGCTATCACGTCAATGACTAAATAAGCATTTAATTTGGGTCAAATTACGGAAAGTCAAAAAAACTCAGCACTTTCAGTACGTTATTATGCGCCTAAAAAAACAAGAAACCAAACGAGCAACAAAAGACGAGAGAATTGACCCCATCCGTCTTTCTAATGTTAATTCAAAATTTACTGTAATTGTCAACACATTTATTGTTGACGTATGCAATTTAGGAATTTGTTCTTGTTTTAAAGTGGCGCCATCTATGACCAAGAATTCGACTTCTGCCACACCCATTAATCACACTCGTTTACAGGGTGGACCCATTCATACATCCATTCGCTCATCCGCAGATCGTAATTTTGACCTGAAACAGAGAACGATCAATCTCCAATCTAGTGCCCCCAGAGGTTTTGATTTGTTATGGGAACATGGAGGATTTTGGGACTCGACTGATTTAACTTGTATCAGTCACCATTTACAACCGGTAGGGATCGAACCCACGACCTCTTGGACACGGGCCCAATGCCCTACCAACCAGGCTATCCCGGCCCCAACGCATTTATTAAAATGGGATAATCATAGCCCAACAATTTTGTAGTAAAGTTGTTTAGGTTTATATGGGGAAAAAATCAGGGCTCGAAAAACCGCCCGTCCGCTCGTCCTCCGCGGTCAAAAATTCCCCGCGGACAACACA